CTCACAGATTAAGTTAAAGGCTTTATATATTTTTCAAACTTAAATATAATATAAATCAAGTTTATCCTCTGAAAATAACTCTGTGAATCATGACTGTCTACAATGGGTGTAACACCCGAGTCCCACTGTCTGTGATGTTTTCAGAGTCCTATCTTCAGTTTGTTTACATCGCCGGGATGGCGGCTGACTCCTCCCCTCGTGAATAAAAGTTGTTTAATTGAGGGACTAGAGAAAAGAAGAATAACATACTGTACTCACTGCTTAACTGCATTTAGATCACGCTCATTTCGGGTAAATTTACATGCAGTGTGAAGATACCAGCATAATAAAGACCGCTAGCATTAGCATGCTAACCCACAATGCACCGCGAGTTGTTTTGGTTTCATGCTGGTGCTCAAGGGCGACACCTGCTGGATCAAAAAATCGTATATAAAGCCTTTAACCCTGCATTAATCCAGATAAAAATACATTTTTCTGCCTATGGTAGGTAACCAGGCGAAAACTAGACCTAAAGGTGGAGTAGACCTAAACAGATACTAAAAAAAATATGAAAATAAGGAATTAAAAAGTGACTATCTTCTATCTTTTTCAGCACATAAGCGAGTAAGAAAACCAAGCAAGAGGTTGATTGAATGGACTGAAGAGTATGATCAGATTTTCTCCACGAGGAAGAAAACCAAAAAGCCTCTCCAGTTAATTGGAAAGGTAAAAATCCTACAAAGTAAGATCTTATGTAACTTTATAATTATGTGTTGATACATGTGCTTGGAACACAAGCATTAAGCAGCCCATATCACTTCTGGCAGCTAAACATTGAGCTTTAACCACAGATTAACAGTAAACTCACATCATTTCTCCCCCCAGGCCTCTCAGCCCGTTACATCAACGTCTGAACTCCCAGAATTTGACAAGGACACGGACGACCACCCACCAGTGGACTTGCTTCCTGAAATACAGACTCCGCCTCCAGAGGAAATGGCTGCAACAACACCCTCTGAACTTCAAATTTCCAATCCAGAAATCACATCTCCCAAAGAGGCTCCGGTGCTTTCCATTGACACACTGACCCCGCCTCCTGAAGCGGACCCTTCTCTGCCAGAAGGGCTCGTCAAAGACAATGGTGAGAAAGTAGCTCTCTTTGCAACTTCGCTGCATTTAAGGCTGCATGAATTAGTCTTCTGTAGGTGGGAGAAAAGTCATCTTGGTAAATGTGACTGAAGGAATGTGGACCCCTGAAAAAAAGTAAACATCTAAACATTAAATCCTTATGTGACTGTTGAACATTTCATTCCAAAAAATGCAGCATGAGTCCACTGTTATCACAGTCATACTTCTCAAGAAAACTTAAGACAAGATTTTAGATTAAAATATTTTTTGCAGAGATTTGCTTTCATTCAGACACAGCAATAAATGAGGCTGGACACTGATGTAGGGCAACTTATATTTGGCAAGTTTAAAAGCCAAGCTTGCTCATCTGAAGCAGACTGCCATGACGGATATGGGGAGGACTGAAGACCTCTCCCTCCACTCAGTATATGAACCATCTGTCCTCCAGCACAGAGATAATTGTCTTAGACTCAGCTCACATCCTCCACTCTGCAAACTGAAGTGCTTTAAAAACTCAATTGTGTCTTAAGGATGTAGGGGTTGTGCAAGAGCATCATGGTGTTCATATCTTTTCTTTATTTAGGTTGTTTTCTATCTTTTCTTTAATTAGGTTGTTTTCTATCTTTTCTTTATTTAGGTTGTTTTCTATCTTTTCTTTATTTAGGTTGTTTTCTATCTTTAGGTTGTTTTCTATCTTTTCTTTATTTAGGTTGTTTTCTATCTTTTCTTTATTTAGGTTGTTTTCTATCTTTTCTTTATTTAGGTTATTTTCTATCTTTTCTTTATTTAGGTTGTTTTCTATCTTTAGGTTGTTTTCTATCTTTTCTTTATTTAGGTTGTTTTCTATCTTTTCTTTAATTAGGTTGTTTTCTATCTTTTCTTTATTTAGGTTGTTTTCTATCTTTTCTTTATTTAGGTTGTTTTCTATCTTTTCTTTAATTAGGTTGTTTTCTATCTTTTCTTTATTTAGGTTGTTTTCTATCTTTAGGTTGTTTTCTATCTTTTCTTTATTTAGGTTGTTTTCTATCTTTTGGTTGTTTTCTATCTTTTCTTTATTTAGGTTGTTTTCTATCTTTTGGTTGTTTTCTATCTTTTCTTTATTTAGGTTGTTTTCTATCTTTTGGTTGTTTTCTATCTTTTCTTTATTTAGGTTGTTTTCTATCTTTTGGTTGTTTTCTATCTTTTCTTTATTTAGGTTGTTTTGTATCTTTTCTTTAATTAGGTTGTTTTCTATCTTTTCTTTATTTAGGTTGTTTTCTATCTTTTCTTTATTTAGGTTGTTTTCTATCTTTTCTTTATTTAGGTTGTTTTCTTCTTGTGCACTGTTGGTAACGTGCACTATATGTTGCTTGTGGTTAACATTGGTATGCATGGCTCTGTTTACAAGAGGATTGTTGTTAGTTTCTTTTTCTTTTTTAATTATTGATTCTCCTGAAGAGGAAGCTGAGTGTGTGCAGCAATGGAGTCCAAGAAACACTTCCCCAAGGGGACAATAAAGTATAGTTTATGAACCGTATCTTATCGTATTGTATCGCATCGCAGTGAGGTCTCACCTGTAGACGTTGTTCCTGTCGTCCCAAAGTTGAATGAGGTCAAGCTCAGGGCTCGGGTTTAACTGGTCTGTTGCCTTAAAGTTTGAAGCTCACAGTTGTGTTACATGATGAGCGCTGGAGACTCAAGATTCCACTTTATGGAAATTAAGGCTGCAAGGATATTTAACTGTAATTGTATTTAACCTTTATTTATCCAGGTTAGTCCCATTGAATTCAGAGAGCTCTTTTTCAAGGGAGACCTTGAGTGTTTTGATTCAGAGAGTGTTTAACACTCCGCCTGCATGCTCTCATAGAGGGTCCTCCACAGAGTGCCGTCCAAAACCTTTGAGGGTGGAGGGGGACCTCAAAACCCTCCAAACCCTCCAACAGCGAGTCTGCACCAAAGCTGACTTACTGAACAGGCGTTACTCAGTTTATTTGTCGTCATGGGAGACGCGTCATTAATGAAAGTTCTGCGTTATTACCCTAATAGTACTACTACTTCCTAATAGTATCATACCTACAAGTATGTAACAATCTTAAAGTTAAGAACATATTTAGGGTCTGGTCAACCATTTCTAGCTGTGAAAGTGCTACATATGGTATTTATTTTATTTATTTTTTTGGGGGGGGGGATTCTTTTTGCCTTTATCTGATAGGACAGTCCATAGAGTAGGAGATTGAGAGAGAGGGGAATGACATGCAGGAAAGAGGCTGCAGATCGGACTTGAACCTGGGCTGCCTGCGTGGATTACAAAGCGTCTGTACATGGGGCGTGGCCTAACCGCTAGGCCATCTACAGCCCGTACATATGTTCATTCGATTTAACCTTTTTTTTTATGTTTGCAAGGATTTCCAAAAACTAATCATCTGATAAAAACATCGGATTGAAAAAAAAGATGTTCACTTAAAACAAATGCCACCAAATAATAGGAATGTTTTTGTCGGTACGTGGAGAGATTTTAAAGGACTGTTTCAACTGTGTGACATGAAACCATGGTTAGAATACACTACATCAAGTTTGAATGGGAGTGAATGGAGTTCATCCCAAAGCTTGATGTGTATCTGATCCCTCCACCTGAACAAAAGGTGCTTCATTAGCTCTGAGCCTGACTTCAGAGTGGAGAGGGACCAGTTTGAGAAAGACCCTTTCTTTTATAGGACGTCACAAGCTTTAAAGACCTGGCCTTGATTAACTGAGCCTTATTCACTTGCTTGTTATTGACAGTATCGGCTCCTGTGTTGGGGAGGAAGCGGAAGAGGAAACCTACTCAGAAGATCCTGGAGTATTGTCTGGAGGCCGAGGCCTCGACAGTCCCAAAGAAGAAGGTAAGACATTTACATGTTTTTATGCAGTTTTGTATTACAGAGGTAAGTTTTTGTTTTTTTTCCCAGCTTGGATATTTTCTCTTTCTCTTCTGTTTAGCTAAATGTATCCTCCTGTTGTGTTATGTGGTTTGATGTGATCAAATGTTTCTTACTCTGCTCTGTTTGTTCTCCCAAAGGCCCAACTAGGGACACGAGTTGGATGAGCATTAGCTATAAAATCTCTGTGCCGCTCATCAGTTTCAAGCTTTTGTTGAAACTATGCTAAATTGCATCATCCCTTTTAAATAACTACATTCAAATAAAGTGGAATAAGAACTTGGAAATGAGATAATGAAATCAACAGATTTTGACAGACATGATAAAAAAAAGCAAAGCGTTGCCTACAGACCTTGAGGTGATGATGAAGAACAAAACATTTCAGGATCTGTGAAGATGAAGGAGAAAAAAACTTTATAACTTGATTTATTTGAGCTCCTCTTTTTGGAAAAAAAAAAAAAAGAATTAGGAAGTTCCTAAAATATGCTTTTATGACTGGTTTCATTGAAGATTTTGATTTTTCTCTGCTTACAGGTTAAAGCACTGAAGAACAACCTAAATCCTGTTGCTCAGTCAGGTCAGTGAATCATCACACAACAGGGAATATTATACTACAGAGCAATTGTTCATCCAAACCAAAAAGTATTGCTCTTGCTCACAAGAAAAAAAAAAGTAGTTTAAAATGTCAGAGAAGCTAAATTTGAATGAAATGTTGATAAATGTACATTAGTGTTTTGGCTTTATTAAATAATTGTCAATAACCTATTGAGTTTGTTTTCTGTGTTTTCTGTGGTAAATTGTTAAAAACACATTTTTTCTTGACCAGATCCTGGAGCAGCGTCTTTAAAATCAAAGAGTAAACATCAACCAGCATCCAGCTCTGCTCCAACAGCCACCGAGACTCTCACGCCCACCTCCTCCATTCAGACAGATCCTCCTCCCACTCCTCCTGCTCCTCCTGCTCCCTCCACTCAGGCACCGAGCCCACCTGAACCCCCCAGGTGGAGACGGCAGAGGCTGACGCTGAAGCACCTCAAGCAGAGGATTATGAAGAGGTCAAAAAGGACACGGCAGAGTCAGAGGTCAGCCATCATAGTCAGACAACTGCTCTATCTCTGTTCCTTCTGTTTTTAAGAAAAGTTCAACTATTTTGAGGAATTATCTGCTATAAATGTGCCAACGGCTTATTTTGTGCTCTTGTATCAGGACTCATATTTTATCAGTCGTTTCAGGGAATTAAATCGATCTTAGACTGGTCAAAACTGACATATCCAAAACATATTTGGAATATGAGGCCCTACTTTTGTGCTTATAAATTAATATAAAAAAGGTATTTTTGGAAGCTAAACTAATCCTGCCCTTGGTAAATTAAAGGAAAGCTCCAAATCTCTTTGGAAAATCATGTTCAAACGATGTTGAAGTGCACAATCCCTGTGGGGAAAGACGTTTATGATGACTGTTGAAGGTTTCAACTATATACAAAAGAAAAGAAAAAGGAGATTTTAAATGACTATTATTTTGTCAATCAATAACCACCTGTAGGCTCCGAGAGGGCGTTTTAAGATATCATCCCATCACTCCTCAAATTTCTGAATGTAGAGTAAAACTTTGAGGAGTGATTAGGTCGGAGATGCCAAACGCCAAACACAACTATGTTCTGCTGCAATAAATATTTTAAAAGAGGACAACTTGTCTGACTGAACTACCTTTATAAATCCTCCGTTCATATGTATAAAAATCCCAATATAGTTTGTTGGATTTTTATTTAAAAAATTAGACCACTGGCCCTGTCTGCTTGAATGGATTTCCCAAAGCTTATTAGAGAAATAGTTTATTGTCACCATTTTAAACTTCTGTTAAAGTTAAAGGAGACCTAGCTGAAAGATTTGTCTATAAGTGTCTTAAAACAGGAAAGCCAGCAAACTCTCTCTTCTTGCTGAAAAGACAGGAAACTTCCTGAGTAACGCTCAGTCAGCACTTTTTAGTTTATATTATTCTCTCATTGCGATCCAGGGAATGACTCTGAGTTGTTTTTTTTTTTATTCTTTGAATTCTTTCTTTTGTCTCTTTTTAGGGTGAACAGTCCAGCTTGGATCAAAGCTTCTCCTCCATGAAGGATGAGTTGTCTCTCTGTGACGACCAACTTTTACCCTCCAGGAAGATCATAGGTGACCGAGGAGGCCCCGCCTCCATGAAGGAGAACATCTGTCAGGTGAGTTTCCCCCTGTAGGACTTTTTCCTAATGATTATCAACATGGAGAAGAGGATAAGTCTCAAACAGCCACAGAGGCAGACTACTGACCATCAGGACTTCTCTATTCATTTATAATGACACAGAAAACACATGCAGCTTTAGTGTCAGGTGTAGTAGGGTTAAAGAAAACTTTCACTTTCAACCTTAACTTAAATGATATTTGTGATTAGAGTTTTTACTACATATACAAAGTCATGTTTTCCTTTTTGGATCCCCAGGGAAATTCAGATGATATTACCACGATTAAGCCACCAGCTCACCTGGGAAATATGCAGAATGATCTTTAAACTTAATTTGAATTCCTCTTATTGTAACACTTTGCTTTTTAAAGTAAGTTGATGTTTTTGATTTGTCCCAGGTGTGTGAGAAGACGGGGGAGCTGCTGCTCTGTGAGGGTCAGTGTTGTGGAGCGTTTCACCTCGCCTGCATCTCTCTGGCCGAAGCACCTAAAGGGAAATTTGTGTGTCCAGAGTGCAAATCAGGTTAGTCTTTAAGCTAAGCTGTACGGGATAGAAGAAGAAGCTGCTGTGCAAGAATTTGAACAACTAAATTAAATCAGTAGATACAGTAAGCATGTTGTAATACTGAGAGACAGTGAGGCCTAAATCCTGTCCTTCATTCAGAACAGATTAACGTCTTGTTGCATGATTTATTTGTTTACATGATATTCATAAAGTTGTTGTTTTATCCTGAAGCCAGCTGCTGTTAAGAAGTTGCCAAATAATGTTTTAATGTATTCATTTTGGAGATATTGGACGGCCGATGGGAGTTCTGTTGTTCCTCAATAAGAAATCATTTGACAGACTTTCACATATTTTGCAGAAGGAATTCAAGGTGATGCTTTATACTTCCTTTGCCCAGGTATTCACACCTGCTTCGTGTGTAAGAAGCGCAGTGAGGATGTGCGGCGCTGTATGATTCCTGTGTGTGGGAAGTTTTATCACGGGGAGTGCATCGCCAGCTTCGCCCCGACCGCACCTGTGACGCGGGGCTTCCGCTGCTCGATCCACGTCTGTCTCACCTGCTTCATCAGCAACCCCACCAGCCCGTCCATCTCTAAAGGTGAACCAAGAAGACACTCAAGATATTTCACCGTAAATACTCGTGTTGTTGTGTCCATTGCGCTGACTGTTTATTTTTTTCAATCTCGTGTGTTTGTGTGTAGGTCGTCTGGTACGATGTGTACGCTGCCCCGTAGCTTATCATGCTAATGACCTCTGCATGGCAGCCGGCTGCGTGGTCCTCTCCAACAACAGCATCATCTGTCCCAACCACTTCACCGCCCGCCGCGGCGTCAAAAACCACGAACACGTCAACGTCAGCTGGTGCTTTGTCTGCACAGAAGGTGCTTCTTTAAGAACATGTGGAGGAACTTTAGCTTCATGTTGGTTCATTGAAACCAAACAGCTAACTCTCTTCTAGCCTGAGTGGCTTAAAGTCAGAACTTGACAGCAATAGTTCTGTATTTAAGTATTATTATTGACTTTTGTACCAACAGTTAAAAAATAATAATATCTGTCTCATGTCTGCATGCTAAACGTAAACTGCAGCAAGCAGCTGGTTAGCTTACCTCAGTAGTAGCATGAGCTCGCTGCTTAACAGCCTGGAGAAATGCTAAGAAGACATTGTTTGGTGTGTAACCGGTGTGAAACATCAACATTTGTCCGTTGACACTTCGCTTTTATGCGATTACATTTAAAGGATATTTTTTAAACTTCAGAGGGGAGTGGAAACAGATTTTTTTTTTCACATTGGACAAGTCCAGGCTAACGGTTTCTCTTTCTGCTATGCTAAGCTAACTGTCCAACGCTTCATATTTACCATACAGTTTCAACTGTTCTTGACCCTCTGTAGTAAAAAAACAAGAAAAGAAAAGTTAAAAAGCACATTTCCATAATTTCAAAGTCGTTTTGGTCTGTCCGTAATGATTCCTGAAAGTTAAACTTATCATCCTTTTTGAGGTTAACACGCTCCTCCTTTAAAGTTCAAACACAGACACCCCTTTGTACATTTTCATTTCAGGTTACAATATTTACAATTTGTAGAGAATTAAAACTGACTGTTAAGAACCGAACAATCCTACTATCTGGGAATTTTACCTGAAACTCCAGGAAATTGTAAATAAAGTCCTGTGACTAACATGCAAGGTTATTTTAGTTATTTTGGTTATTTTTAATTAAAACCAAACAATTAGCTTACAGAGGCTAAAATGTTCAATAGACATTTTATATAAATGGTAGAAAGTGGTAACGTTAATGTGGCTCTCCAAACTATTGCTTACATTCGTCCGCAGCACACACTAATGATTGGTATTTTTTATAAACTGTGCGTACCTCCTCCTGTGCTGTAGGGGGCAGTCTGCTGTGCTGTGAGTCCTGTCCTGCTGCGTTCCATCGGGAGTGTCTGAAAATGGAAATGCCAAAAGGCAGCTGGTACTGCAACGACTGCAAGGCTGGGAAGAAACCTCGATACAAAGACATCCTGTGGGTGAAGGTTGGCCGATACAGGTCAGTGTCTAACTGGAGACACAGTTTGTCTCATTTCTACAGCAAAGGAATAACCAGAGATACAAAAACAGCCAGAAATATAGATTTCTGTATGTGGACATTAATCCAAAAATGAGCTGAACATACAGTATATTAAAGGCTTTGTAACTTCCCAGAAAAAAAAAGACTTGTCAAACTTTTCTCAGGGCTCAAAGTTTACTGAAGTGTTTCTGTTTCTTTGTCTTTTGTGTTGTTTTGTGAAGGTGGTGGCCAGCGGAGGTCAGTCATCCCAAAACGATCCCAGAGAACATCCAGAGAATGAGGCACGATGTCGGGGAGTTTCCTGTTCACTTCTTCGGATCCAATGACTACCTGTGGACGTATCAGGCCCGGGTCTTCCCTTACATGGACGTGGACGCCATCAGCAAAGAGAAGATGGGGAAAGGTGTTGATGCCACCTACAAGAAAGGTAATCCAGTGTGTTCAACGAAATTAGAATTCAAGCAGTGCGAGAGGGAGAGTCGTCATTTTGAGTTTTCTTTTTTAGTGTTCTCTCATGTCATTTTTTTATGTTGTTGGTTGTGTCGTCACTTTAAAGCTGCTGTGATGACTTATCATGGTTGAGGTATGTGACTGTTGGTCTTCGTCCTCAGCTCTTGAAGAGGCTGCTCTGCGGTTTAGGGAGCTGCAGGCGGAGAAGGAGCTTCGTCAACTTCAAGAGGACAGAAAGAACGACAGGAAGCCTCCTCCCTACAAACATATGAAGGTTACAACCTCTTTTGTTTGTCTCTATTTAGTCCAAAAAAGGCTCAATGTTAAGGTTTGTTTTCATCTGTCTCTGTGTTAGTTGCTTACTTAAATATGGTACTTGAGTAAATGTCATTTAATACATTTTCTAATTTAAGTGTCACTTTCTACCTCTTCAGAAATGTAAACATCGTTCAGAAATGTGATCGTTTACTTCCACCTTTCTGACTCATTCAGGTGAATCGACCAATAGGAAAGGTGCAGATCGTCACGGCCGACCTATCAGAGATCCCGCGCTGTAACTGTAAGGCGTCAGACGAGAGCCCGTGTGGGATGGACTCAGAGTGCATCAATCGCATGCTGCTTTATGAATGCCACCCGCAGGTACAGAAGTCTCATTGAACAGCGCGCTCTACATCAGAACATTGTTTACTTTACAAATGTTTTATAAAATATTTCTCCAAAACATTGAAGTGACAAGATACCATAAGTTTTCACTATGTACCTTTGTATCCTTTATCTGCACCGTCTCAACCCTGTCACTGCGTGGAGTAGCTTTACTTCAAAACAGCAATATAAAACATACATATTGAGTTAAACAGAGGGGCTTTAGTACTTTTCTTCTGGAGGTATTTGTTACTTGAATCTTACTAAACCTTTTTGCACAAGGATACAAAATCTTCTCAAGACAAATTGTTTTATGATTTTTTTTTTTTTTTAGAGATTGAGTGACGGAACAGCATCTCGATGGATAAATACCAGACAATTTTACTAGACATGAATTTATGTAGACACAAAAATAGAAAATGTACCTGAAGCTTTGAAGCTTTGAAGCGGCACTAACTAATACTTTGGCCACTTGGGGGCAGCATAAACAAGCTTTAACAACACACAACTACTTCACCTATAAAACTGACACAGGAAACGTGTTAGCTTATTACATTCAACTATTAGCTTTTACATAACAACGCTAAAAAACATATTGAGTTATGTTTCTGCTGATTTGAAAATTGAAGCGAAGTAGTTCCTCATTTTTTTTTAGCTCTGTTTTGGTCTCCACCCACTACTGGTGAACATATCTGGCTATTAAGCTGCTAAAAACTTGACTCTAGTTGCCAACTTCTATTTGGGAGCAGTTATGTGCTGGGTAAAACAAAACACACATTTAAGATAGTGCTGACTGAGGGTGAATTAAAACAGTGAAGTTGTGTTTTAGAAACCAAAATAATCGCTAAAAGACATTTTCTAAAGCTCAGGTGAGCTGCAGAGTCAGGCGATAATAATGATCTTTGTCATATTCATTTTAATATATTGTTTAAGGAATAGCTTCATGTGTGTAATCGTGTTTATGATATAAAACTGGTATATTTCCTTCGTTGTATAAAAATAAATGACTCGACTTGCAGGTTTGTCCGGCTGGTGAGCGGTGTCTCAACCAGGCGTTCACAAAGCGTCAGTACAGCCAGGTGGAGATCTTCAGGACGCTTTCTCGAGGCTGGGGTCTCCGCTGTGTCCACGACATCAAGAAGGTAACTACATCACTGTCATCAATAGTACTCAAACGACTGTACCCCATAGAGGGACTGGGTCAGGGACTGGATCAGCCTAAACTATGGATCTTTTCTTCTCTCAGGGTCAGTTTGTGAGCGAGTACGTCGGGGAGATGATTGACGAGGAGGAGTGCAGGTCCAGGATCAGACACGCTCAGGAGAACGACATCTGCAACTTCTACATGCTCACACTGGACAAGGTACAGAGAGAGAGTGTGTCTGTGTCTGAAGTACAAATTTAAAGTCCAGCGATGGCGGTCTCAATATTGGAAATGCTTTTTCAACTTGAGAGGTGGAGCGGAGGCGGGCCTTCAGCCTGCTGACAAACAGCTACAGCACGTCCACCTGAGAGAAAGACCAGTCACGCCTCTAACTATAAATAAAATCAAAACTGAGAAGTCTTTTTTTAAATTAACCTCTGTACAGTGTGTGCCGTTAAAGACATTTTCTATTCAGACCAATGTTTGTACCAGGATGTAAACATGCTTAATCTCTGCTATGAAAACAGACTTTTTTTTTTTTCTTTTTTTTTTAAAGATTTATTTTTGGGCTTTTTGTACCTTTTAATGGATAGATAGGACAGTGGATAGAGCAGGAAATCAGGGAGAGAGAGAGAGTAGGGAATGACATGCGGGAAAGAAGCCACAGGTGGGAAGCAAACCTGGGCCGCCCGCTCGAGACGACAGCTCCATACATGGGGCGCGCACTAACACTGCACCACCAGCGCCCCTGAAAACAGACATTTTAATAAGGAACTGTGTGTTTGGACGTCTGGTCTTTTAAAACCTCCCTGATGTGGACACTTGAGGAACTGCAGTTATTTGCACTGGTTGAAAAGTTTTAACACTGGCGACCCACCAAAAAAAAAAAAAAAACAAGGCTTTA